GCACTTGACACACTTGAAACCCAAAGGTCCCCGGCCCCAACCCCAACTTGTGTGTAATTTGTCAAGTCGACTTTATAACTTTATCGTCGAATACCTCTTCTTCTACTAGAGAAATACAAGTCAAACAAGCTTATTCTACTTTTTTTTAAAAAATATTTCAAATTTCAACGAAAACAATTCGTTTGTTGTAAAAATGTTCCAATACAGTGAAATCCCTTTACACTACTCTTTCCAACAGTATCATTGAGTGTTAACATTTTCAGTTCTAGAAATTTTATCTTTTTTCTTTTTACATGTTCTGTCATTTTCAAAAAAGTTAATTCTATACTTTCCTCATTTTTTACAAGTGGTGAACTCTAGTAATTTTCAATTTTCAGCAAAAGTTACTACCCTACCAGCTTAGTTGCGTTATAAGCCAAGAACCTTTTTTTTATTTTCAGACATGAAAGCATAAAAACGATAAAATATGAACGAAAAATCATAGTAATTCTCTATAGTCGACTGTCGGTTTATACTATTTTAATTCTATAGTTTAAACCAGAATCCAGAAACAAAACATCTAATTTTATGAAGCAACAACCTTTCCATAACCCTCAAATGGACCCGTCTCCTGCATAATCAAAGGAATTTCATCCTCGGCCAGCGAAGCCAACGTCTTCTTCTCCTTGGGCTCCCACCCCAACTTTCGTAGTCGATTTGCCCTGCTTCGCGAGTTCGTCCCTACCACAGCATCTGTCCACTTCCCAAAAAGATCCCCGTAGTTACTGACAGGAATAGTCCGGGGAGTAGAACTCTCGATCTTACCCGCCTGGTGAAGCACGCGTCCAATTTCCGCCGCACAATCATTCCATGACAACTCGTTGCCGTTCTCACAGAACCAATATGGGTTCGGGAGGACCTCCTCGGGCGGAGTCCGCTCTAACCAATCCAGGAGTGTCAGATACCCCCGCGCTAGGTCCTTAACATGAATCTGACTCCAGACTGACCGGCCTTCTCCAACCTGGCCTGCGTAGCCGTGCTTCTTAGCATACCGGACTAAGGTAGGGAGCTGGATAGACAATCTGCCAGAGAGACCGACGCCGTAAATGAGCGGGGGGATCATAATGGCAATTTTAGCGTGCTTGCCGACGATCTTCCTGCGACGCACAATCGCTAGGTCTATGGTGCGATGCGGCGCAGAGTCAGGGAGTGCGTCGATGTCTTCAGGCTTGTCATCTTCAAAAACCATATCGCTCTTGAACGCTCCCGCGCTATTGTCGCTTAGGACGCTTGCACCGCTGGTGTGGATGTAAATCGTTTGCAGGTTGTTTTTAGCACGCTCCTCCAGCCCATCAAGGATGGCTTCTGACGATGGTAAGTGGTCGGCCGTTGCCGTATGGAAAACAATATCGCTGACAGAGACTTGCTTCTGAATGAGGGATCTATCATCCAGAGACCCGATCACAGTCTTTATACCCTGGGCGTGGAATTCGGCGGCAGTGGATTCCCTGCGAGTCAAGGTTGTTACATGGTAATTTCTTTGCAAGAGGAATTCCAATATCTGGCCGCCAATATAGCCTGGACCAAGGAGGAAAACAGATTTCTCAGACATTATTATAGTTGTCGGATCGGGGTGTCTAAAGTAATAGGGTAATATCTTGGAATCACATCCTGGTGAATCAATGTAATATATATATATATATATATATATATTTAAAGAGCCGATACGGTTACTTTGAAGTGTAGTAATCGACTTTAGTAATCAACTCCACATGCACCGGATAAGCACATTGACCAAGTTTATAGCTACGTAACATTTGACACCACTGCTAAGTAATGTTTTGCACCGCATAACTAAAGTAATCCACCGAGAGCGTGCACGGAAATACTATACAGATCTCATAATATTATGGAGTAAGTAGATAATCAAGTAAGCAAGCACACACAAACAAATTTCATTCATCCAAGTCTCCAAAGCTAAGACGCCTATGACAATTCAAATGTATATGTATATTTAATTTTATATAAAATACAATCGAATACTCCAGAAGTATAATTCAGTACCAAAAAAAAAAAATACTTGCAACAACAATGCAAACTTGTACAAATAAATTCTTTTTACTCTATAATTCGTCAATTTTTTAACGACCTTTCTGTTTTCTAATTTCTTTATTTTACTGTACTCTATTGTTTTGCTTTTTCTATTCTATTTCTTGTGTTGTTATTTTCAACATTGACATTGTCATTTCGCTTATATTAGAGATGACGTTCCAAGTTGCTGCCTCTTTGTTTTGTATACACAGTTTAGCAGTATAGAGTGGAAGTATATAGACGAAAAGAAGTACGGCCAACATGTAGATAAAAAAGTTTTGTCATAAGGCAATGAATTAATGAAACAAATGAGACAAGTATGCTTGTGACATGATGCATATAGATACTAATTCTTTAGTTATTCGGTATGAATATGTTTAAATGAACTCGTTAACTGTCTATGGCCATACCTAGGCGAAAACACCAGTTCCCGTTCAATCACTGCAGTTAAGTGAAAACGTCTGATGGCCTCGTTCGTACTATGGTTGGAGACAACATAGGAATCCAAGGTGCTGTAGGCTCCTTTTTTTGCTTTCTTTTTTAGAAGTATTTAAACTGCGCTTTTTACTATCATGCCAATGGGTGAAATGCTACTAATAAAAGGAATCACTATGCAACAAATTAAAACTAATTAAAACATCAATCTATAGGGCCGCTAGGACAAAAAGAAACGAGTAAACATCTGAATTTCAAAGCAAAATAAATAAATAGTTGAAACTAATTAGCATGAGGATTAATGAATGCCATGCAGGTGCAAATGCGAATTAAAAGAAATGCACGCGGAAAGAGAGCAACGAATGCCACACAGTACGCAAGAAAATCAAACGCCAACGTATTTCATGGTATCAATTATGCAGAAACGATACATAAAGAAATATAGGAAATAATTTTGAAAAAAAAACATTAAAAACTAATGCGCAAACCGAGAAGAGAAAGGGAAGAACCAGAAAATCCGGGTTTCAAAATTAGAAAATAGAACAAGGGTAAAATTACTACGCATAAGAAATCTAAAGGAAAAAGAGTTAGCTGCTTCGCAGATTTTTACCGCTTTCACCATTCCTAGATGTGTTGCTGCTATATACTGTTCAAAACATTCAGAAGATGGTTCCTCATCTCTAAGACTATTAGGACTATTTGGCTCACTTAAAGATTCAAGAAGTATTACATAAATTGGAAGTTGATTTTCACTCGTCGACTCGGTTTCTTCAAATGTCATGTCATAACCTAAAGAATAGGCAATATTTTCGAAATCCAATCAAACCCTACAGAAACAGCTTTGAAAACCTCAGAAACCAACAAGGGAAGTGAATCCAATGAAAAAATCTACAAATCCAATAAAACTATTCGTTCTTCATTAGCATTGCTTTCAACAGTTATTACTTGTTGATTGATATACCCGAAACCAAGTTCAAGAATAAGTTGCTACAGTGTTTTGAACCTTTTCCAAATCATCCAGATGAGACGAACTGTGGATGTTGTATTTCGGTAAATCACTGTCGGTTACATTCAGACTCCCACCAAGAAGAAGACTTGGCTGGTTTAACAGCTTCCAGGAATTTTTCTTCATCTTTTTCTCTCATTCGTAAAGAGAAAACACACAGATATTTTCAACTACCACTAAAAAGTTGCAGACTGAATCGTGAAAATGGTCCAAGCTGGTAGGAAAAGAACAAGAAATGTGTTTGGACTCTATACGAAAAAAAAAAAGAAATTACTTCATAAAAGCTCCAAAAAATGCGAATTGAAAACGCAATGACTTAAAAGTTTTGCTAAGGCGAAACTGTCATCAACAATTTAGGCTTTTTTGGCGCATTCGCTATACAACCTCACACTTGTTCGAAGCTAACGGCATACTGATACCTTTAGTACATTCCCGCAACATGCTACCTCTTAGGCAACGTATTATTCATTACCATAAAAATATATTACTTTTAGACATGTAAAGAAAAGTATTAATTAAAGGTAGCATAAAATTTATTTTACAGGAACAATCTTTTTTAATTTCTTTTTGCATAATTAGGATAATGGCTAAGCAATCGAGAAATTGTATTGTAAAAGCTTAGCTTTCAGCAATATTTACAACTGGGCAAAGACTGTAGAAAATACATCTTTTGGAAAGTACTATTTAGGAAAACACACAGGTGAACACACCAATTCCGATCTGATCATTGCACTTAAGTGTCCGAGGATCTAGTCTCGTTTGTACTGTGGTTGGAGACAACATGTGAACAGGGGTTCTATAGGTTCTCTCTCCTTGTTGCCTCTTTTTGTTTTTTCTTTTTCATTTGATGAATTTGTCATTTCTTTATTTCCTCCATTACTTGTTTTCCTCTATGGTGTCATGTACGTCATATAAGTGTCATTTCTAATCTTTGCCAACATTTAAAAAATCATATAAATTCTGGCAAGCCATTTAGTGTAATCAATAAAATTTGAATTTTTCATTTTTTTTGTGATTTTATTTATATAATGAATTATTGGCCGTACATTATTGATAGGAGGACAAAGCTAGATTCCAGCACGATGGTACGTATGGAACAAGTGATGAAAGATTTCGATTACTAAATGCTTTATATGTAGCAATCTATAAGACTTGCCAGAAAGAGAAGGGAGTCTGGAGCTTCTGCTGAACCCACCGCTGGTTACAATAGCGGCGCTTACAGTAACGCGTTGAACGGTGAAGTACCAAATTCTTCGTCTTCTTCTTCTAAAGGTATTTACACCTCTACTGAACTCAATTCTGGTTACGATAACGGTACTCACAATGACGGATTGAACGCCGAATTTGCAAATTCTTCGTCTTCTCCTCCTTCTAGAGGTATATACACCTCTACTGTGGGTGATGATGGAAGACAAAATGTCGAACATTCTGAAAAGAGACGATGGTGGGAATTCAAAAACAGGAAAAACTCGTTAGGAAAATAAAAAGAAGGATCATGAAAAGATCCGGCTGAATTGGCTTTTACTCTTATTGAATGGAGTGAAAATATCCTTCTACTCTTGATTACAGAAACTGCTCTAGCATATTTTTGTTTTCTTGTTGGATGCTTTTGAGATTAAAAAAGCTGAGCTGTGAAATTAAATAGTTTCGGATTGGATTCATATCCGTTTACGCTTTTTACATAATTTCATCACTATCTACAAAGTTTAATTGTTATTGACTGGTGCGTGCGTCGTTCACCCATCGGTGTGCATTTGTTTATCATTACAAAAATTGTATCTCTAAACTTAGAAAAGATATTTGGTAAGTCCGTTTTATGAGAGCCTTTGTATGATTCCTGATAGCAGCTTTTCTGTAAAAGGTCGAAAAGGAATAACAATGAATGCTCATGTTATGGCGTGTAGCAATTGATCAGAAAAAAAATTAATGGATCACTAATCCTAAAGAAATAAGCTTATTGGAAGTAAATATTCATCGGTGTAATATTCAATTTTGCTGATATATTCCTTTTACGAAATATAATAAGTAAAAATGGAATAGATATTTACGTTTTGTAGGCGTTCTTGCTCGAAGCACGAATACGCTTGCCATATCTATAAAAGACGAACGGAATAGGCCCCATGTAAGTACACTAGTGGTCCAATGATCACCCAAATTCAGATACATTGGACGAGCAGCGAGTGCCACACTCCCACTAGCGCAATAGCATACCACGGTTGCTGCAGCAAGCGCACTGGGAGGTTGATACGAGTCGATAATTTAATTTACGAAACAAAAAAAAAAAAAAAAATTATGACTAAGCAAATCCGAAAAAAGTACTAGCTATCATAGGTACAATCCAATGAATATGGCCAGCATAGCAAGTCCATGGCAACCAAAACATGGATATAGGAAGGTCAAAGGCGCCAATGAAAAGGGATACAACAGATCTTCAGGGCACATAACAGATCTTTAGTTTGTAGGCCAAGAGAAATTATTTATAAGTTATTGGCGTCAAAAGACCAGCAATAACATGCTAACACCGACTCCAATAAATGACAAACCTAAATCACCATAATTGAAACCGTATTATGCCTAAATAATCGGGTATGCTTCGAAATTCATTTAGTTAATGACGTAAACGACAGTGAAGTAAAGGGTAAAGCCAACGACAATAGGTTCAGTCAAAAAGAGTGAGACTGCCTAATTAGCTGCCTGAAAGATTGCGTTTTTGGGGTCGCGCTGACGCTCATGAATTGTATAGTAAGCAGAATCACAAGTGCTTCCGAATATATTTTGCCTTATAATAAAGGATTGCTTGACCATCAGTTTTAGGAACCAAAAAGAAAATGAGTAGCAAGGCACCCGCTGCCCAAATCATATTGATCCAAAAAAGCCAGCGCCAACGCAGATAGCTCTGAACAATGAAGTCACCAATGAAAGGACTGATAATGAGGCCTAATAACGGGAAAGCGAGAAACCCCGGAAGGAGATAGGTACGCTGAATAGGATCGAATATATCACTCAATGTACCACCGGAAATCTCAAGAGGGGTACATCCAAAAATACCTAGGAAAAATATGATACCCAATAGTCCATATATTTTGCACAGCCTCCGCCAATTTAGAAGCTTATAACAAAGTAAGGAAATAAACAATCAACCTATTACAAATACTACTTAAGGGAGCAAAAGGAAGAGATCCAAAACCGAAGTCAACCAAAAATGTGCAAGAGCCAATAATAGATACAGGTCTAGAAGCATGGAGCTGGCTAGCAGCTTGTTTAACACCAATCGAATATATACTAGAATCAAACATCACAACGATTGTTATAATTAGAGTTACAATATTTTCAGTCTTAGACTTACTTGACGGATTCAAAGGACCATCAGGACTACCTTAAGTTACTAAATAAGATTTAGTTTATGCTCGATTTACCTCTTTTGCTGAATTATACTCCCTCTTTCCAATTCACCATGTCTAAATGCCATGGATACTTCTATCGAAACCACGGATCTGTTGCTTGAACGAGATGTAGCCTTATTAGCAGCATCAACACCGTTAGATAGCTTCGTAGGAAAAGATCGATGAAAAAAGGTTTGCTAATGTTCAAGGTTTGTTCCCGCTCGTCACAACTCGTACAAATTTCACGGTTTTGTTACTAAACAGTACAGAGAGATGTTCTGTAAAGTTGGCAGAGCAAGCTTATGTTTGTGAAGCATTCTAAGATTACCTTCTACTTGTCTCCATTTTTTGTTTTAATTTCTAACTCTTTCTACTTTAAGTAGAATATCCACAAAGTTACCTTCAAGGACGGTTATGCTCAAGCTAGACTAATATCGCTTTTGCTTGCATTGTATTCATAAAGTCTAGGGAAGTTTTTATAGGTTTATCTTTCATGAACTAATTTGCTTTTTTGTTTCTTCTCATATGCACAATTATCAATTATACGTTTATGCACCAAACAGAAAGTACTCCGTTCGGGACCGCACTGAAGTAATGCAATTTACTAAACATGGTTTATCAGATTATATAATATTCATAAAGGTATATTTCGGTAAATTGTTTACCGAAAAATTATCCGGCTATTTCTGCAACAGTAACATCACGTGTATTCGGATTTGACCTATGAAAATGGGAAATCTTACCAGATTTTCACCATCCCTTAGCCTTTCTCTTTTTATCTATTTATTTATTTATTTTTATTTTTCGTTCTTTCGTTCTTTTTTGTTTCTTTTGTTTTTTTTTATTTTTTTATTGTACATTATTCCTTGACTCGTATATGGTGAAAACAAAAGATTTGGACACTTGGACCGGTGAATATTCTAGTGCTTCAGATTCCCAACTGGATACACAAAGTAAAGACGCATTAGACCCATCTACAAATGTGGATAATAAAACGCACTGTAAGGGAACATCAGAAGCGAAAATACCCCACAAATCATGGAAGCAATACGTGCAGGTAGCAGTTTGCGGTACGGCTCTTTTATCAGATGGGTACTGCATGAGCAGTATTGGGACGGTGATTACTATTCTTAAGAAACTTTACCCAAAAGAAACCAAAGCACATCATACTATAAAAAAAATTAGCATGATTTCATATGTCGGTACGATTGTCGGACAACTCTTTTTTGGAATCTTTTCAGATGCGCTTGGGCGCAAAATTGGCATGATTGCATCATCAGCTGTTTTAGTTGCATCTACAGCTTTGTGTTCAGGTGCCTACGGTTATCATGGAAGCATTCGTGGAATGCTGCAAGCGTTGATAGCTTACCGGTTTTTTTTAGGAATCGGAATTGGTGCTGAGTTTGTTTGTGGCTCGATTTCGGCTTCTGAAAGCTCAAATGAAGTTCAATCTGGTGCCCGCCATGCGATCTTTGTAATAGTAACTGACACTGCTACTTGTATGGGACACATTTTAGGAGCCTTAATACCTTATATTTTGGCTTGTATTTTTGGGCAAAGACATCTTAGAATAGTATGGCGACTTTCGATAGGCTGTGGTATTTTTATTCCAATTGTCTTTTTGATATTACGAATTCGTATGAAGGAAGTTAAAACATATGTCTCTCACCGGGTTTCTGCAAAAAAAATTCCTTGGCTTCTCGCTATTAAGATGTATGGGATACGACTATTTTTGCTTTCGATGATCTGGTTTGCGAACGGTTTAATCATATCTGCGTTTTCTCTGTACTCTAGTACAATCATTAAAGGAGTAATATTACCCCATAATGCTTCCATGGCACGAACGTTTGGATGGACGGTGCTGACCCAATCATTTAGCTTACCAGGATCACTTCTCGGTGCATATTTCAGCGATGTGCTTGGGCCCAAGTACTGCCTTATATTAGGAGCATCCCTGCAAGGAATGATTGGATTTTTTATGTCTGGGTTTTACCATCAATTAGTCCACAAGGTTGCTGGATTTTGCGTGCTTTATGGGCTTTTTTTGAGTATGGGTGAGTTTGGGGCTAAATGTAACATTAGACTTCTAGCATCAAAGACTTCACCCACTGCAATCCGGGGCCTCTATTGCGGGATTGCAGTGACGACTGGACGACTTGGATCTATAGCAGGTATTTATTTGTTTGGAGGTGACCAATTGCAAAGGTATTTCTATGCTGCTAGTGGAATCTCGTTTTTTATAGTTCTTATTTCCTTATTTCTTCCAAACGTGGACCAGTCTTGTATTGAAACAGAAGATGAACGATTCCTGCAAGCTTGTAAACTTGGAGGAATTCATCCAATATTTGAACAGAGTGACGCTGAGTGAGTGGTTGAGCTTATCATAAATAGTTGAGTTGGAACGTTCTAAACGTTTGTTTTGATGAACGCACAGCGTGCATGTAGAGCACTACTATTTTTCGATTATTTTCTTTTTTGATGTTCTTACTTTCCATTTTCATTTAATCGTTAATTGCTTGCTAGTTCTTATACGTGCTTTTACTCTTGACTTCGTTCTTTACTTTCAGTTTCTGCATATCTATCTATTTATTAAATGTCACTTCAAAACCTTCAGCATCGGTAATTTTAATATAAATGAAATACAATATGTAATTCGTAAGTTTTGAGATTTAATTGAAGAATAGTTACCAAGTATCTGAAGTGGTATTATCTATAGTAATGGTTCTAATGATGCTGATGAAAATGTTGTGAAACAAGTTTATCAGCTCAGCAAGCAAAATCTTCGTAACTGAAGATTTAGCTGGGAATACCTAGCAAATAATATATTCTCATTTAGCACTTAAGATTCGTTGTTATTTTATTAACCAATTTTAATTATTTGATATTATGAGTTCTATTTCCAATTGTTTGGGTTCGTTTATGTTGATTCAAACAACAATAAACTTTGTAGTATTATAGACACAAAGAACACATAAATGTCGTAAGAAAAACCGCGAGCAGAGCATAAGTATTTAGCTTATTATTTTTAACATTTAACAAAATACGTCTACGGCCACACCTAGGCGAAAACACCAGTTCCCGTCCGATCACTGCAGTAAAGTGAAAACGTCTGAGGGCCTCGTTAGTACTATGGTTGGAGACAACATGGGAATCCGGGGTGCTGTAGGCTTCTCTTTACTTTTTGTTTATATGTTTCTATTTTTCCAACAAAAGTCGTTTGGCTGCTCTTGTAGTGACTTGCTTCCTGATTGCCATGTTAATGCTACTCATTTGCTCACTGAACAAGTTGCTATTACTTAGTATTACTACAAACGAAAATCTACAAATCAACTACAGTAAACAAAGGTTCATTAATGAAAATAAGGATGCGAATAAAAGCGAAACTGCTGTGGACAATTGATAATTAAAGCAACATAAAAAAAAAAAAAAAAAAAAAAAATAACAGTATTCAAATATCTGTAATACAACTTTTAGAAGATTTCAACTTCAACGGATTAGTGTACAACAAATCAAATATACACGATTATCTTTTCATGAAATAAAAAGTCTTTGTTGATCATAAAACGGAAGTATTATATTTAGTAATTCATCAAAAACGGCTTTTGCCGCAAAATTTAAGAAAAGCAAAGAAATCTAAAAGAATTTAAACAATAACAGAGCAACTGAAAATCAGACGAAGAAAAGTTGTCTTTCAAACTATATTCAATTGCTTCAGACAACATATAAGTTATATAAAAAAAAGAAATGAAAGTCCTTCAGTCCAAAATTTTAGGAAAGAATCCAGAAATCCAGAAATTGTTTCCTTAACCCAAAATGCATTGACAATTATGATACCAACCATTAGTAGAAGATTCATTACACTAGGGCAACCTTTCAGAAAATAGAAATTCATAAGGAGCACCGGAAATACAGATGCCAGTAAAACATATTTAATTATAAACTCATATCTAAAACTCATATTCACGAATTGGGTTCCCGAGAAATCCTTAACATATAAAGGTAAAACTAGGTAGAATGAACGTTCCAAGACTTTGCCAAATATCTGAAAGGTAATGCTCATAGCAATTAAAGAAGAAGCAATAAGCTCACTTTTTTCTGAAAAATAATCCAGGATAAATTCAAATGGGTATCTAATGAATGAGTTCATATTGTACATAAAAAACCAAAAGGAAATGTGAAAATAAAGGGGATTTTTGAGTTTTGACGACAATTTTTCCAAACTGCAAGACAACCAACAAAAATGGACGTTAAAAAAGAGAATATATCAAATGTTTTGTATTACGATGTCAATATTTGCAAAAGTCTGTTCTTCTCTTTTAGTGTGTATTAGAGCTTGATCCTCATGGACACTTATACAATTCCAAGAGGAAACCAAGTTTGTAGGTTCTTGGTACTGAGTCAGTGAAATAATCTCGCATGTGCTTTTGAAGCAAACGATAATTGTTCAGAAATTGCTTGACCAGGGAAACACGACTATTGACTTTCGAAGAACGGGTTCCAAGAACATTTGAAGGAATTGATCCTTCATCCTTACCCAACTCAATGACATTTTGATAGAACCAAAAATGTCGCTTATTCCAATCATCCAAGAAAACACGTTTAGCGGTTACGTACTGAACCTCTGAATATACAGAATAAGACCTAGATATATAACTTGGTTGTTCTAAGGATTCGGAATAATTAAATGTTAGAAAAGGGTGAGTGGAATGTTTTGGATGAGGTTTGTCAATAGTAAGGGTTGTCTTTTCATGAACTGAATAATTAAAAGGATTACTCATTTCCAAGGGTCGACTGTACACAACTTCTGAAATATTAAGACATGTCTGGCCGTAGCTTATTTAGCCCAAATTTGAAAATTTGCATTGTCATAATAAGAGTAAATGAACATGCTATAATATATTAAAAAAATTCTGACGAGCCACATTTTCGCCAACCCATCTATAAAAGAAAAGAGTTAGTAACTTCCTGAAGTAAAAAAGTAGCGACTCATGGGAGCAATATTAAATATATATTTGATGAAATCCGTGTTGTCACAAGAAGATATATACGATAGCAATGCTCATTATATACATTGAGGATGACACGAAAAGAGTTTCGGTATGCAAAACTACTGAGTGCTAAGCGAAAATACCAACAAAAAAGTAACCAACCATGAAAATATATTTTTAAAATAGTGTAACTGGGACTTTTATGAACGTCAAGGGTGACAAATTCTACAGAAATTTTGACATTGTTTGATTCTCTTTCTTACCACTTATATTCTACGTGCGCTTGAATCTACTATGATTTTATTCATTTGCAAGTTATCGTATAAGAAATTGAATTAAAAGGATAAATAAAGTGAATCTCTCACGTGCTATACGTTTCAATGCTTCATGATGCACTCGAAAACCATCTGTCGTAGTATTCTCCTCCTGCGCAGATAATATTCATAAACATTGCTAGCCTGCAGTCGCTCAACGACATTCTTTCCGTTATAGCTCAGTACTTTACAACATATGTTGCTGCTATATAACCTACATCTGAGCAACACTTGAACGTATAACCTGTAGTCAAAAAAATATGTCTACAAATAGTAAAACCCAAAAAAAATAAATAAGAAACAAAATTAAGAGAAAGGTGTACCAACTGAGGTAGACCAATAAAAAATATAAGTTTAATAACTGGAAAAGAAGAGGAAGCGACGTTGCAGGAAGGAATCAAAATCCTTAACTTAACTAAAGAAGAGAACAGCTCTACTGGCATTGAACCCGGATGAAGAAGCAGCATGGTTACTGGTAGAAGAATTCGTGCTATTGGCACCAGTTATCAGCTATGGGTATTATAAGAATTCGCACCTGAAGTGAGAGTAAGGGATGTGGCATTATCCCTCTAATAAACAGCGCCAGAAACACTGCCCTCAGCATCACCCTCTACAATAGGTGTAGGAGAGGCCCTTTTGAAAACAGCACCAGAAGCGGAGCCTCCAACGTCACCCTCAACAATGGGTGTAGCCGAGGTACTGTTATCCCGTTTGAAACCAGCACCCCAGACAGCACCTTCGGAATCCCCTTCAGCAATAGGTTTTGGAGTCTCTCTCTTGAAAAAAGAACCAGAAGTGGAGCTTCCATCGTCACCCTCAACAATGGGTGTAGCCGAGGTACTGTTATCCCGTTTGAAACCAGCACCCCAGACAGCACCTTCGGAATCCCCTTCAGCAATAGGGCTGGGAGTCTCTCTCTTGAAAGCTACTGCAGAAGCATTTCCTTTAGCGATACCGCCATGGGGATAGGCAGAAGAAACTCCCAGAGCCATCAAAACAAGGCTGATCAAATACGTGCGCATTTTCTGGTTACTACCAAATTGTGAATGAAAATTAAGAAAGATATGAAAAAATATGGTAATGAAGGATGACTTTGGTGGAATAAATCAATATTAACAACCAAGATGTCCTATCTTTTATACGAATATTACATGTCGCAATTTGAATTTTCATTTTTATCAATTTCCGAAATTTCGTCTAATTATCGCTGAAGACAAACAAGCGCTAGAAAAGGCTCAGTTGCAATATTCTGGTTCGAAAACACTATGGTCCAAGTCATCGCGTTGCCACTTGATATAATATCCAATACCTAGGACTCATAATATATGATCTATGGGGTGAAACGTAATGTGGAATTTTACAATTTCATTGGGATACGATGAACAATGATGCCAAAAAATAAACTCAGTCCTTACTGCGCCTAACGGATTAGCTCAATTGGTGGCACCATAAGAATGAACTTATTTCATTCAGCCGGCCATGAAACATTCGCAAGGATGAATATGCGTATCCGAAATAAAGTTAAAAAAGATCTTTAATTTTCATTCTTACCTGTGCACCGCGAATTGAATTTACCACCCGCAAATGATTTTCAATTTTTGCGATTATTATACGTCTCTTTTTTATTTCGCGTTCTAGTTTGTTAAGGATGTATTAACATAACTAGGTTTATTCATCCTACAGGAACTTGTTTTAAGAGCTAATGGTCATGTCTAATTTTGGACTTACTAGGGAACAGTAAAAAGGTCATTTATTTGTAACCGGATTTCATAAAACCTAGGTAACTATAAAAAGAAAATTAATTTCGGATGAAAATTCCCTGATTAAAGCTTGCTTCCTGATTGCCTTACTGTTGAAGAGCTTGTTGTCGTTCCGCTATGGTCGCAGCGACGGCGGGACGCTCAGTAAGACGTTTATGCCAAGCATAGGTCTTGGGGAACTCCTTTTCGAAGTCCAATTGTGGAAGATCTTCTTTGAATTCATGCCTTCCTTTTCCAAAAAGCGCAGGTAGCAAATCGTTCCAATTAATAAAAGACATGTCGGCGATCGTGTACTTGTCAGCAACGAGATAGTCCTTGTCTTGGAGAATACTTTCTAAAACACCGAGCACACGCTTTATTTCATTCCTGTATCTAGTAATGGCAGATGCAACAGGTTCTGGATGGTAAAAGTTAAACCAGGATGCTTGTCCCCAAATGACACCTTGACCTGAAGACTGGAAAAACAGATACTGAAGCAAATGATGGTACTCTGGATGATCATGAGGCAACGAAATCTTTCTTTCCTTGTTGTATCTGTCTGTCAAGTATGCCA